GCATTGAGAGCAGTACGACTCATATAAAAATAAATCCCAATGCCAGCTTGGGTGAGAATTAAAAATTCTATTGGCCTGTAATAATCACCCTGTCTCTGCTGTTGTCCCCTTTAGGCCTCATTCACACTGGAATCGGCCAGCACGTAAAGCTCCGTGCAGGGCCGTATCGTGCAGCTCCCGGGAAGGACAGGTGCTGCGTGTGATTAGTACGTAGCCCCGTCCTTCTCTATGGGAGTACGTGGCCCTACGCCAATAGACGATCAACGAAAGGGCAGGTCCGTAGGGGTACATATTTTCTTGCTCGGACGCAGACAGGATCCATCCTGTCAGCGTACGAGTACGCTCACCCGCACGGACGTACAGGGTGGGTGAGCGTAGGGGGGCGTACGGCCGGGTAGTCCCATAGAGAAGGACGGGGCTGCGTACTAATCACACGCAGCACCTGTCCTTCCCGGGAGCTGCTCGGTGTGGCCCTGCATGCAGCACGGAGCTGTACGTGCCGGCAGCTTCCAGTGTGAATGAGTGATGAGTCTGCGATGACTCATGTAAAAAAAAAAAGGAATCCCCTTGAAGACTCCTCGACATTAGCATGCCCCGTGCTAAGCGATGGCCAGAAAACGTGTTCCTGTTTGACAATCAACAGTATAATATTCTCATTGTACATGAAAACTGGGAACAAATAAAGCAAATAACTCTTGTGATTTCTATTTCTAAATGTTACAAACAAGATTCATACAACTTTCACCCAGGCCCTGAGACTGATGTTGGGCGCTGCCATCATGGATATGATATCTGCAGACTCAGAGCTGTCACTCAAGTGACACTATAGCATTCCTCTCTGCTCCTTCCCTGGCAGGCACAAAGAAGATTATATAGGGAGGGGCAGAGGAGCTGGGCTAGCACAGATACCCCCAGAAGAGGAGGAGGCTATGACATGCAAGAAGGGAGGAGGGTGTGCTAGGCAATTGACTCTTGGAGTAGTCACATTTCCTAGAAAGATCAGAGACACAATGCAAGTAAATACAAAATTGTTAATAGAATGGAAAAACACTGAAACTACGCACATAAAATACTTGACCCTTTTGTGCTTTTATCTGCACATTTGCAGGTTGTTGACAGGGTCTCTTTAAGCAAGGAGAATGTAATGACATACAGCAGGCTCCACACCATGGCCTGCATTTTACAAATGGTCTGTAAATTGTAGGCCGGTGTGTGGAGTAACATTGAGGTGTACGGTGTATAGTGATATCCACTCTCCCTTATGAATCAGCGCCTTAGTTTGCTGACGCACTGTGTATTATAAACGATTTCCTTCATTTTAATGAAATATTGCTTTCATCTTCTGTTCATCCCTTGTTACTGGGGTCACTAAATGGCAGACCGCAGTCTGGACATGAACCAAGTGTCGGTTCTGTTCAGACCATGATCGCCAACCCATACTGGGTTATGGCTGGCTGACAGTGGATACAATGGCCTCTGAGGCCAGTGTTTCCACTGTTAGTCATAACTCAGCACAGGTTTCCCCTTGGCTTCAGTCATTGGCTGCTAGGACCGCTAGCGCCCTAACAACCATTGGCATCAGGCAGGCAGGGACGGCTGCTACGACAACATGTGATCTGGGTGGCTGACTGTACCGCCACCCAGATCACTTGTATTAGCCAGACTGCTGTATATCATTTCCCCTGGGGTGTGTCCTGATGGTGACAACAATTACCCATGCCTGTCCAAAAAGTGTCAACATAGTTGACCCCAGAGCCATAGCTAGCTCCTTTTGGGCCCGAGGCAAGAACAGAAAATTGTGCCCCCCAACAGACATGTGCGGTATGTGACATCATGCGCACGCCTCCAGGATGGCGACGCGCATGCGCAGAATGTGCTGGTGGCCAATGCCAAAATAGCATAAAAATGTGTTTCATTTGACGAAACGAATTAAAACATTTTTAGTTTCTGTTCATTTCGTCCGAAACTAATTTTTAGTCTTTGCACATGTCTAGTAATATGTGTGCATGAGTGTGTGTGTGGGGGGGTAGGGGTTGTTTTTTTTTTTTTACTGTTGGGGGGCTTCGGAGAGATGTTGATTGGTTGCTATAGGCAACTGCTCCGGATTTTGTCTGCTCCAGTTTTGATTATTTCCCCCAAGGAATTCTAAACAATGTTGTGATTATGGCAGAAAAACATCTACATGGGAACTTCCCATCTGTAGGCCACTCAAAGACACTACCTCTCATGGAACCTCTTATGATCCATTATATTCTACTTTCCACCAGAAACGTGAGATCTGCAAACTCTCTCTCCCCTAGCACCAGCATCTGTGCCAGGCCTTCTTTAGGGTTCAGATTCTTTGGCCAGCCTGGGATGATGTAACATTCGCACATGGGCACAGGAATGAATTCATCTCGGCAATGAGACATGATGAGCGTGTACACTAAAGGTGCCCATACACTGTACGATTCTCGTACGAGAATCGCGGGAAATCCTGCGATCGTACGAGAATCGTACAGTGTATGGAAGGCGTGCGACCGTTTCTACTGTACGGTCGCACGTCTTCCATCGAACAAGCAGGCTGGAAAACCCGCCGGGAATCGTACGATTCTCGGCGAGTGAGTGGCCTGCTGGTTCGACAACTGCCGAACGGGCCGGTGTGCGCACGCGCACACTGCCTGTTTGCTGTCCTTGCAAGCCCGCCCCTCATTGCAGTCATCACAAGCCCGCCCCACAAGGGGGCGGGCTTGCGATGATCGCAAGTACGATCTGCCTGTCCAAGATGGGCAGATCGTACGTTTTTTTAAGTACTTTACAACCATCGCAAGACTAAGGTCTTGCGATGGTTGTAAAGTGTATGGCCACCTTTAGCTGCACAAGTGCAACTCCAGCTGGGGCAAGCAATTACATTAACTGCCCCCAGGGCCTGATTAAAATTATCACGGGCCTGGTGCTAGGGATTTAAGCAGGCCTTTTTTATGGAAATGTTGACAGTCACCAGTGCCCTCTTCCTCCTGTCCAGGCTGTGATTTGTAGTCTCTTTACAGCTTGGAGTCAGTGGTGGAGTGCCAGGGCCCGGCTGCAGCTGTGAGCCTAGTAGATCTGCCACTGACTCCAAGTTGTTAAGGGACTACAAATCTTAGCAATACATTATACAGCAATGCAGAATACAACCAACTATAGAGGACTACAAACATCAGCAATATATTATACAGCAATGCAGAATACTGCCAACTATAGAGGACTACAAATACCAGCAGTACATTATACAGCAATGTAGAATACTGCCAACTATAGAGGATACAAATCCCAGCAATACATTGTTAAGCACTGCAGAATAATACCATCAGCTGACTACAAATCCTAGCAACACTTTAAACAGCAGTGCAAAATATGACTATGAAGCTACATACTCTGTGTTGCTCCGGGTTCACAGCCTGATGTCTCCAGGGGTTGTGCGGAGTTTCAGATGGGCTGTTCAGGCTCTCAGGAGGCTGTTCAGGCGGCCAGTGTAAAAACTAAGGGGGCCAGTGCGGGCTCTCTGGTGGTCAGTGTGGTGATCAGTGCGTGCTTTGGGTGGTCAGTGCGGGCTTTTGGCGGTCAGTGTGTCAGTACCAATGTTTTAATCAGTTACCCTACAAATGTTGCGCCCTGTTGTGAGTTTTTATTTAGTGTGGGCTTTGGGCAGTCAGTGTGGGCTCTAGGCGGTCAGTAGGGGCGCCGAGTGGTCAGTGCAGGCTTTGGGCGATCAGTAGGGGCTCTGGGTAGTCAGTGCGGGCCCACCAGTTATGCCAGGATGACGTGCTGTGGCAATCAGGCAGCGGCATCCCTCTATTCAGGCATATTAGAGGGCCGCTAGCTGGGGCCTTTTGGGGCCCCAGTGTGGAGCGAGCAGCCCTCTAATATGCCTGAATAGAGGATCACCACTGCCTGATTGTGGCCGGTCACCAACCCGGATACCGAAGTGATCCGAGTCGGCCTGGTCTATTTGCAGGGAGCCTGGAGCGCCAGCTCCACCCGCCCCTACGTTAATCCGGCCCTGGCTACCACCTGCAGATTTACCCCCTCAGAGTCCTGAGCATTGGTCTTCTTCCAAGTTGAATGACGCCGAGCATCATTTGCTACACTCCATGAGTCCAGAACGTCAATGTTCCACCCCCTGGACTTACAGGAGAACGCTGCAGAGATCAGCGCCATGTCACTACGCAGTATTCTGGATCCATTCACTGCTAGAGCAAGAAGAGGACCTGTGATGTCACCGGACTAAAGACACCTGGCATCCAAAGTGTTTTTATGTGAATAATAGGTGGATGGGTGCTTCATGTCTGGGGTGTCTGGGACACAATCAGTGGGGTGATCCCAAGCCCAGATCTGAGATTATTATAAAGTGAGTGGATTTTCTGACAATATCAAGCAGTACACTGATTTGACAGTTGATCTTTATTAATAGATTATTCTAATTGCAAGTCACCCCAAGGCACAGTTGCGTCCTAGAGGAAACCATGGTCACAGGTTGTGTTTAGGAATGTGAACATCACCTGTAACCAGGATACATACCAGACCCAGAGCCCTCACTAACGGGAAACCACCCATAGCAAGAGGAATCCATGGAGCCCTGGAAACCGGCGTAGCTCAGAGAAGTTGATAAGGACCTACGCACAGTTACTAGCGTAAATACATCTGTGAATGGCGCTGGTATTAGGTCACACCAGACGTTCGCCAAGCGCATTGCGGCGGTTACTAGGACGCTGATCGAGTGCCGCCCCACCACACCCCACACAGATACATATATCCAATCACAGAAAAGCAGTCAATCATTTCAATGGAACCAATCCGTGAGCTACCGTGACAGGCGACAACGCCTAACAGACAACCAATCACAACCTAGTTTTTCTTGACTGGCGGACCGGCGAACAATCACAGCCTGCTCTGTCGGTCCGCCCACTTACTGCCGACCAATTGCCGAGAGAGCCTCAGAAGCGAGAGCTCTATGACTCGGCTATAAAACAAAACTGCGCATACGGCTTGCGACATTGCTATCGGGACGTCCATCGAATTCACAAGCTAACATCATGAGGGAGATCGTGCACCTTCAGGCCGGCCAATGCGGCAACCAGATCGGAGCTAAGGTGAGCTTTCGGGTTTCTTGGAGAAGAGGAGGCTGGTTATTTTCTACGCACGATTTTAATGTCTATGCGGCCACTGGGACGAGTGCGAGATATGGGTCATCACTAAATTTTATTTATTGTGTCGTGGGTTAGCAGTCGGGTAAAGAGTTGTTTAGTCCGGCATTTTTTTTTTGTGACAAGGCTCACGGTTCGCCCGGCTAAGGGGTTAAAATACCGGCTTCAACGGCCTTTCCCGCCTGTGTGACCAGCCCCGTCACGAGGCTGGCTGCTGCGCATGTGGGCGTGGCTTGGGATTGGAGTGGGTGTCTCCTTTCATCCTGTTAAGTCGCGTGCTCTGCGTGTTTGAAATTCAAATGTTGACTTTGGCGGCAACGGAGGTCACCTGGGCGAGCCCCTTTCTGTCACGACGGGGGTGCGCGCGTGCGATCAGCAGTGGTGAAGCGGTGCTGCAGAGCTTAACGCACGTTAATCTATTTCAGTCTAGAAAGAATAAGACGTTCTGCTTAATGCTCCCTGACACCTAGTGCATTGTGCCCTCATTCCTGTTGGGAAGGGGGTAGTAATGCTGCTCAGTTATAGAAACCTAATGGCTACTACTGTCCTGAACCAAAATAAAAATATTTAGGGGTACAGAATGATCTCTCCAAATCACTTGTTGACCAGGTGTTTACACCCCCTTCCTGGCCCTGCCAGTGCTGTACTACCTTGACCGCTGTTTATTCTGTCATGCAACGCTGCACTGCAATTCATTTTATACCCTTTTTTTTGGGGGGGGGGG